CCATTCGCCAAGATACGGGATAGTTCTAGAAACAAGAGAGCGTGAGAATTGTCACGTGATCTCGATGACGCAACAAAACGTTAAAGGAGGAAATAAAGTAATTCATTATCGTTACATGAGCTGTAAGTTAAATTATTTTTACCTAGTAATTTAAAAGAACCCACCAACCACAGAATTAGTTATAAAAATTCTGTTAAAAAATAATTTGTTTTATGACTCGATCAAGAAATACATGATTTTTTTTTTTTTTTTTCTTGGAGTAACATACACAGAATATTGTCGTTTGGTAGTGCTACTGTAGCTTTATTCTAGATTTTGATTAAGTGTGTGTATTCGAGAAGATTCGCGAGCAGCATTTGTTTTATGTAGAGTTTCTTCGTGGTTTTAGCCTGGAATTATTCTGATTGTGTGACATTATCGCAGTCATGGTTGATTACAGCAAGTGGAAAGCTATTGAGGTATGATTTAAAGGTTTAACATAATTGCGGTCTACTCTATTATAAATCATTAAATGTATCTTATCTGGCACATTAGTAATAGTATATAACTGAATTACTACTCAAGACGTAAGTTACGTAATATAATAACGCTCAAGCGCATATACTAATAGTAATACGAATACTATATTATGTATTGTTAGAAACTTGGGCCTAAATAAATAAATAAAAAAAAACAACAAAAAACGGCCGTAAACAGTAAGCTATGTTACCAATTGATGATTGCATTTTTCAGAATGTATCACTGCTCTCGGGAAATACAGCTGCAGATTGCTTTTAGTATTAGTTTTACGTAGTAGATATGGAAATTCAGTTTTGACCAAATACATTATGTTCTCAAATTCAAAACCAACCGACATTCGTTTAGATACCATTTATGATATACTGGTTATACATAATACAGCACTTTTAGCATTCCCTTTATAAGTTATTTCTAACATATTTAACATTTTAAGCAGTGTAACATTTGTACAGTATTTTGCTATTCTAGTAATTAAGTAAGAATAAGATATCGCAACAGTGCCTTATTTCTGAGCATGTGTAGCCTAAATATGTCTATGCTATTAGTGTTTCCAAACAAGGAATTTATATTAGGAGCTATATTATATATATATATACTCACTGAGGAAGAGAGGAAAAGGTAGTTAGATTTATATAGTTTTAGACACTTTCTTTAGAATGATGAAAACACAAAAACATTTTGTAGTTTTTAGTTTTTTAACACTAGAAAAATTAATCTGTTGGTCTCACTAATATTAGTAAGTGACTTGAAGTGTTATTACATAATTCTGCTAAAATGTCAAAGGGATAAGACATTTAGTAGTAGCCTTAAAACTATCTAATATACTGAAAAATATAGAAGTATTTAACATATAATTAGGAATTTTAAACTGAATGTGGAATTTGTGAAAATTTTTGCTAGAAAATTACACTTGACTTTCATAAAAATCTACTTGCCCTCTCACTGCCCCACAAAACACAATGTATAATATAACTTTTAGAGTTTTACATTTATTTAACAGTGAAAATAAAATTCTGAGATTCACACATTGAGAGAGTGAAGTAAAACATCAGAATACTTATGACTAATTGTTTGCATAATTTATAGAAATTGAAATTTATAGTCCTTATTTATCATAATATCTACATTAAATGCCTACAGTAAATGTTTTTAAGTATAGTTTCTGATTCACAAAATCAGAAACACTGAAACATTGATTTTTATTTGCTAATTCTCTCTCTTTTGCTAACTGTTAGTTTTACAGTGTAAAATGAATAAATTAGATAAATGTGAATATTGATAATTAAATTTGAGTATATATATAAATATAAATAGATGCAAAATGTTCTATAATTAGTTTGACATTTTGAGAAAATTGGCTTTTTTTCTTCTGCTGCTTTTACAAAACATTTTATGAAGAAGTTGCTTATTTGTTAAATGAAACCATTGTAAGTTATTATATGGAAACCCAAAAATATCTGATTTTATTATTTATTTCAAATTTTACATACTCTGTTATATTTTCGATAAAGTTTTATATCCATAGGCCTTTTGAGTCAAAATGCCACATATCCATCAGTACAGTGTCGTTGCTAGTAATTTTGTCAGGAGTGGGGTATACCATGTTTTGCATCTAAGCTCTTTCTATATATATTCTTTCATGCATTTTATAGTTCTTATCATTTAGACTTTAGGATTTCATAGTGAAGCATGCAGAATATCCCCTGTATGAACAGGTATAGAAATGATGGTTTTAATTATTGCTACCACAAACTTAAAGCTTTCTCTAATTTTAATTATGTCATATGTTCTTCCTAGAGTTGACAGTAAAACCTTATTGGTCTCCTGCTATAAAAAATGCAATGTAATATCATTGCTCTAAATATATTTGCTACTGCATGTGTCACAGGGAGATTGTGAATTAAAGGGGTATTTATATTTATGTTTACAGTTTTGTTTTTGTCATATAGAGATATAAATTTTTAATGTTTGTATATATGTGCTAAACTTCTGCAATTCAGAACTTGCACACCTCCCTAGAAATTTACCCAGTCTGTTTTCTAGCAATAGAATAAACAATGTGAAAAAAAAACTATTTTTCTAAAGGGCAAACTATAACAGGAAAACTTGATGTCCCATAGACAAATCTTTTGCCCTGGGTATCAATTGATATGAATTCCATTCCTCTTTATGAAATTGCACCAATCAAAATATCAAGAATGACATTGTGATAGGTCTGCACTGTTGGTCAAGGGATGTAATTCTGTTTATTAGCTGTGAGAAGTGAATATAATAATTAAACTTCTGATAGGATACCTTAACCTCTTTGTACATATTAGCTTTCTTTGATTTTTTGCTCACCACTAGCCTTGGTACTCCCACCTAAACTCTTGTTTCTACATGGAATTGTTGTGTTGTAGTCTGCAAATGAGCATGTGTCACATACCATCCTAGTGCAGCTGACTTCCTCTATACTGATTGTCGAATCAGCACTTCTCAATTTGGCACTTGTGTGTGACATGTGTTTTTTTTTTTTGCTCATAAACTTTTCGAATATATGCATTTTTTTAGTGGACGTATCTACAAAGACATTACATGTTGTGAAAGTATTTGTTGCTGGATTTTCATTTTCAACAATTTCTGCACCTGCAGATTTTGTGGCATTTTATTTCTTCATTATTCTTTCATAAATGCCACCAACTTCCACTTTGTCAACAAGACATTGTTCATGCTAGTCTAACAACTACATTAAAGTTTGTCTGTTGAGAGAAGTAACGGCTTTTGTGCAGCAAGTGGTGGAGTCTTTCTTGTGGCCTGAACCTTCTTTTGTACCTGACACATTTCGTGCTCATGACTGAAGGGATTTTGTCACTTTTTCCTCATCACCCACCTTTGTCTACTCTCATACCTATGCTGTCTTGAATCTACCTAAGACTTTTTCTTAATTTTGGGACTAGGTTTCTCAAGTATGTTTCTTTCCTCTACTTTGTAATTCATTCCCTGCTTCTTACTTTTATGTTTTTTACTTCCTTTCCTGAAATACAAATCCATATTTGATTACCTTTATTACTACGTTGGTGCATGCATTGCCTCATCCTCCTTCTTTTGTTACCTTATATAACTAGGCATAACTTCCTGCTGTATTACGTTTCTTCAACTCCTAAACTCTGGAGTCTTTTCTTCAGACTTGGTGGTCAGATTCCCTTTCTTTTGTTCTGCTTTCTTAGATTTATGTTTTCCCACCTTCGTCTTACACTCTACCCTTTTCTGTTATCTTTCCTCTTTTCACCTTCTTTCTGTGGTAATCCACCATTCCGCTTGTTCACTTCTCTTCTCTACAGTGGTGTGTTTATCTTTGTCAGCCTTATCACTTCAAATTTGATCAGTTGCTAGAGTTTGTTGGGACATGATGCTCTTATTATTCAAATGCTTTTGCCTCTCTTTTATCTTGTATGCCTTTTTCTGGCTCCTTTTTTCTGCCAGTATGATTTTACTGGAATGGTTTCTCTAGAGTTATATGTTGGGGCTACATGCTAATGTTATTCCTTATCCTCATAGGTTTACCGTCTCTCCCATGCTCTTTCTTTCTCCTGTCCTCCTGCTTCCTCTTCTTTCCATGTAACCACTTCCTATTCCTCTATTCCCATCCATCTTTCCACCACTCGTAGAACTTCAGAGCTGTCAGTCTTGGCAGTGGCTGTCCTATAAATTCAGGGTCAGTAGGGCCTGTTTAGTTTGGTTTATTGGTAGTACGAGTTCTGTCATTCTTTTATTCTCATTCTAATCCAGATCATTTTCTGTGTCTCATCCATGAGGTTTATTGTTAGTTGGCCTGCACTGCTCTTTTCATGGTTCATGTTCTTGTCTATTTATTCTTTGAATTCCTCATCTCCCCAAAATATTTCTCCCATTACCATCATGGTAAGGCTACAGCAGCTCATCCATCTAGCCTATACTTCATTGAATGTAGGTTCACATAGACTGTTTCAAGTCTTCTCTCACCACATCTGACTCCTTATTACTTCTGGCTGCTCACTTCTGTCATCTGTTGGAGGAGATCATATGGGCTGGTGTGTGGACTACCCCATATACTTTCATTGCATATTAACTTCATCATCTGGCTGTCTCTTCTTCTTCTTCAGGATATTGACTTCCTCCCATCACCATACTACATACACTTTTACTGGCTGTGACTGAGTAAGTTCTTTTTTCTTTCTCTCATACCTGTCCAGGGATCCTATTCTGTGTCTCAGAATCCCATTGAGTGGCATGTGGTGCCCTGCAGGGTATGCTTATATTTAAATCTTCACCATGTGTCCATCAAGGTCTGAAATGGTTACTGATGAGGTAGGATGTTTCACAAGACTGCTACAGATTTCCTCATAGTATATTATTTGCTAAACAAGGCCTGACCCAGACCATATCTACTCATGGACTATCATATGTAAAGCAGTGTTGGGATTGCTGCTCATCCCTCTGGACCTAGTTGAACAAACCTGGACTAGCCTGCTTTTAAAAATAGGGTTTTGTGGTCACCTATTGCACAGTCTTATGGTGTTGCATTCCTTTGGGTTCTCTAATGCATGTTTACCCCCCTTCTTCTAGTGGAAGGTGGGAGTTCTTACTACTCATTTCCTAGCTGCTGGTGTGGAGGACCATGGATTCCTCCCGAGTGTCACCAGGATTGTGTTGTGGATTACCTTTAATTAATGGGTAAGAAGTGATCTAATTGAAGTTTCTAAGGTTATCCAGTGAACTGATAGGATAAAGGCCTCTGATTTTCTTGTTATATATTCTGAAGATTTCTGAAGATAATAGGGTGAAAGGACACAAGTTTAAGAGTTGGAAAAGACAGCCTAGGCTCCAGTTAAGAAAGTTTTATTTTTCTAATATTAATTTCTGGTTTCGAAATACATCAAGCATATTACTGTGTTACCTTATTTAATTCCTATACTCAGTTTAGAAAACAGTCATTTTTGCAGTATATGCATTAGGGTGTTCCAAAAATATAGAAATATTTTCCTACTGCTGTTGGAAATAAAAACTGGATCGATTTGTGCATATTTAGAGGTGGTGCAACTTGAACACTTCAGTATCATTATACATTATAGGGAAGGACAAACTAAGTAGATGCTGTTATGGTTTTTATTCAGTAATAAAACAAAAAGCTACAAAATTCACTAGCAAACTGAAATTTTTAATAGTGTTCTGCATATCTAAATAGCATATAACTATAATAATAATAATAATAATTAACAATTTATCATGTCACTTATAACATCAAATTTTCCTTTCTGGAGGTCTTTTGGTGTAGTTTAAGTGTGCAGAGACGGTAGTGTTTTTGTTCTTCACCCTTAGTAAAAGAAGAGTTAAATGCTTGAATCAGAGCAATACCTTTCTTTTGTGCAATCATTCACAACTGCGATGTCATCTGGCACGATGATGGATTGCTGCCTCTTAAATCTAGAAATTGCATGGTATATGACCCATTTTACACCCATAAAATGAGAGGCAATATTAGTACATATGCCATGAGTTTATACAAAATTGGTAAGTAATGTATTCAAACAATAGATTGCATTATCTTCTAATTTTACAACTTTATTCATTTACATTTTATTTTTTTAGTCTTTGTAAGTACTTCCATTCTATTTTTTACTTTAGTGTAACACTTAGGTTTTGAAGCTTACTTTTGGAGATTCTCCTTTTTTAAGCAACATTTGAAGATTTATTCTAGTGTAATTAATGGATACTAAGTTATTATTTTCTCATTTCAGAGTAAGTCTTATATAGAGTGGAGTGTGGACTGGAGTATTTTAACATTTTGTAAATAAATCATATTATTCTTGATGAAAAAAAAGAAACATAAATTTCCTTAGCCAGCATTAGTTGCAGCTATAACCTTTGCTGGAGAAAAAATTGAAATATATTTTGTGACTTGAACATGTCATCTGATAACTGAATCATGAAATAGGAATACCAATATAATTTGCTAGTCTCATTTTTGACACACATTGAAGTTCATAGCATGTAAGCACTTGGAGCAAATCTGGAAAAAATGTGGAGCAACATATGAAAGGTCACCAAATGTGGTTACAGTGTTGGCTTGTCTCTTTAAAACATTTAATATGACTTATTTTGAATAGGATACATTCTTTTGTTACTAATGAATTGTTTCATCTTTTATAGCTACCTTATTGTTCTATTACATTATTTTATACTAGCATTGCTTTAGAATTCCCACAAAGTTAAACAGTATGGCCATTTTAGAAAATAAATTTGCCTATGAAAATAAAGACTATTGTGATGATAAAAAATTACTTTATAAACTGAAATTGTTTTTTAAAAATAATGTTGTATATTGATAAGCCAGTAGTATATTTAAATTTTCTAATGTGTCATTAGGAAAATAGAAAGCTCATCTGATCTTTATAGCTTTTTTTACATTAGAAATAAACATGTATCATTCCATAATTGCATAAGCAATTCAGATGTTTAGTAATAACACAGTCGTGTATTCTTTACAAGTGAGTACATAGTCAACAACTGAAATAAATCACGGACACCTCTGATGAAGGTCATTTTTAATGTGAGCATATTGTCAATGTGAGATAAGTGTTTTTTTTAACTCTTTTTATTCATTATTATACACATTTATTTCTACTACTAGGTTTTACTGTGCTGCTCATAGGTTGTCAATAAAATGTAAATGTCAAATAATTACATGTAATTTTTTAACATTACATTTGAAGAAGGTAATAATACTCTGGTGTATGACTTCATATGTCACAACTGTTATTAAAAACTACAATTGCACTTAATTCCAGAATATGCACACTATTTGTAATTGAGAAAAATACTTGCCAATTTCAATTTTTACTTATATTTAGGAGTTTGGTAGATGATAGCTTAAACCTGAGTATAAAACTGAATCACCATAGAGCATATGCTTAAGTAATATAGACACACATTTCTATTTTGAGTGAATGTTCATTTTAGTTATATATTTTTTAATGGTAAAGTAACTTCCTTATATAAAAAAACTATTGTGAGAATTTTATTTATGTCATATTACAAGTTGAACTTGAAAGTTTTAACCTCCATAACATATATTTTTATCTGTATATCCCATATTTCTTGTCAACCCATTTTATCAAAACTAAAAAAATCAGCAAAACAGTATAAAAGTTTAGAACATTTAATTTAAAAAAGACAGTATAAAGATATATGTTTAAGTAAGCTGTATAGTTGTTTTCCTGTTTAAAAGGTATCAGATGATGAAGATGAAACTCATCCTAATATTGATACAGCGAGCTTGTTTAGATGGCGTCATCAAGCAAGAATGGAACGTATGGCTGAACTCGAGAAAGAAAAAGCTGCTTATGAAGCAAAGAAACAAGAGTAAGTTTAAGATCATCAGTGATTGGCATACTTTTAAATTGTGAGTGATGCAGTCATTGATTTGTATTCTTGTATTAATATTATACATTGTATTATTATTATTAGAGCCAGTGAAAGAGAGTTAAACATAGAAAAAAGAAAAATATCTTGAACAGTAGTCAAGAGGAGCTGATTTGTAGTACAGAATATAAAACAAGAACTAATATTAAAAGTAAAAACTGGTTATGCAAACCAAAGATGAAAAAGGAATTAAGACAGTAACGTTTAGATTGTTGATAATTTTGGAAATAACCACTGATAATTATTCAAATAAATGCATGTTGAAAGTTTTTTTAAATAATCACATTTTGTATAACTTTACCATTCTTAGTTGGTATAATGCAAGTAATAAGCATTGTTTAATCTTCATTATATAGTTTCCTGAATGATCTGTTCACTGTATAAGAGTAACCAGTGACTAGTCTCATACTTTATCTTTCATAATTACTTCTTATGCACATGTAAGTCCACATATAAACATGATAGTTAAAGACTGTTCTTTGTTTAGTTTTGCTACTTTATGGCTATTTGGGTAATGTATCATAATATGGCTGCCTACATTTTCACCAGTCATAACCAGTTTATGAGCTAAAAGCTGGTCAGTTTATTATCATAATGTATGAGATGATTTATAGATAATATAAGACAGTAAGATAAAATATATACTGAAAGCTTTTCCTTGCTAAATATGTACTCTTGCTGTCAACAAAAAATTAGATTTGTAATTTCCAAATGTCCTTCATGCATTGCAGAGCATGTGTTATTTATCCATAATTCTCCACTCTCCCACCTTCCATGTGACTTATTGTGTAAGCATCATTGGATCTTACATAAGCTTTACTTTTTTGCCAAAATTTATATTTCAATTTTTTGAGTGTATAAAAGATATTTTAATATTAGAAATAAATAATTTTAAAACATCAAATGCTCCCCAGTGGCACAGTGGTATGTCTGCAGACTTACAACACTAGAAACTGGGTTTTGATACCCATGTTGGGCAGAGTACAGATAGCCTGTTGTGTAGCTTTGTGCTTAACTTTACACAAACAAATGACCAAAACAGGAGCATTCTGCTAAAACACAAACCACAACTGACAATACAAACCTTCAGATGATTTGAATTATTTTTATTGGAATGGTCCTGAAGAAGCTGTAAAGCAAAATATTGAGAGTCCAGTTAAGAAAAATAACATATCTTTGTGTTTTAAGGTCAGTTATTTCTAGTATTAAAATTTAGATTTTATTTGTGCATGGTTGTGCTGTTCACATCATGCAATTTTTTTTATGTGATGAATTCTGAAATTAATGTTGCTTCAAATATTTCTTTCTTTTTGCTCCTTTCCTGTTGTATTGTAAGCTGGATGAGCCTTCTTGATCCAAACAATGACTTTTTTTCCTTTCCAAGCATCTACTCCTCTCTGTAGTTTGGTTGGGGCTGTTTTGGGACCATATGCTCATCTGCAGAACCATTGGGTTCAACAGTTTCTTCAGTTTGATTTTTCCATCCACTTTCATCATCCTTCCTCACTTTTGATTCTTCCATTTTCTTTTCCTCTTCTGACTAATCCAACTTGTGTTCAAATTTTGGATCAGGAAGATCAAACCTTTTGGTTGTAGGAGCTATCAAAATTGTAGTTAGATTTCCTGTGGGTTTTACTCTGGTCTTTTTGATGTTCCAAAGAAAATACGAGATTGAAGATGGGCATTAGATGTTTCCCAGCTCATTTGTTATCCCAACATTCCTTTTTTTAAAGATTGAATCTATGTGAACCTTATGCACATTTCTTCCTCAAGGGTTTTGGATGATGATTTTTTATTCATCCTGATTCACTGTTGTCTCATCCATTTCTTTTTTTTCTCACATTGGAGAATGGTTTATCAGTTAAAGCCCCCTCTCCCCTTTTAGTTTGGCTTCTTACCAGTGTCTTGACACATGAGTCAAAGCTTATGCTGGTCTTTTTACACACACTAAATACCAATTTCTTATTGTTGCATGGATGATTGGTTGAAGCCAGTTGTCTATTCAGTCATTGACTCACACTCTTTGGACAATCAAGTTAGCTTCCTCTGTGGGAAGTATTGTTCATGAGTCCAAGTATCAGCTTGTGATTGCTAAAAATGGGGATCATTATGTTTTTATTCTTTTTACTATTTTTTGTTTTTTGATGCTCCCATTACACTATCCTTGTGTTGTTGAACCCATCCTTGTGACTGCTTGGGTCTTTTTTTCAGTTCTTCCCAAGTGGCCACTGACTTGACCTGTTCCATGACTCCGTAACTTTTTTAGATCTGAATGAAGAGGGGGCTACAGCCTCTGGAGTAGTGTTTTACCAATAATCAGCTTGGCAATCTGAATCAGGCCAATCATTGCATAATTGGGTGACAGTTGAAATCAGTAGAATTTTCTGATCATGGAAAACTGATTGCCAAGAAATGAAAAATAACACCACCCAGAACACTTTATTCACAACAACAATCTTCTGATTTGTAGGAATGCTTACAATCACAACCCTGTTTTTTTCCTTTTTCTTTCAACAAAACACGAAATATTATTCACCATAGAATAAAATATCATCAATTAGAATGAAAGAAAGATTAAAACAATGCTCTGCACATTGGGAAGTACACCCATTTCTTTACGGATAATACATTAGTAAACGATCGATAACAGGACCCTACGTACAGAACTAATACACATTGTTCGATGACGAGGAACCCACTTTGAGACTAATAATGGCTGGAGACGGCTTAAATGGGTAATGAAGAAAAACTTTAATACAAGTTTAACATGACAGCAAATGTACAACGTTTCGACAAGGTTTTGTCATCATCAGGTACCTGCATTATGCACTGTGAACAAAGTTTTTAATTTTTTTCAACTCTACAGTTTTAGGCAACAGGGTGCATGCACTCACTGCTAAAATTAATGAATTTT